GGTTACAGAAAGATTTTAAATTGTGACCCTCACAAACCTGTTGAAAGAAAAATGGTGGGATTATGAAAGGTAGCTTTGTTCCTTCTTTTCTTAAGTCTGACGACTAAAATAAAGCTGTTTTCCTTAGGCTCACAAGTGAATGAGAAACTGTTGTCCAAGGACAATAGTTAGTTCAGAAAAGATTTTTCTCCTGAGACTCCAGATTGTCTACAATCTACCATTTCACCCTCAATAATGTGGTCAGGAACGGGAGGCAGACAAACAGACCTCCCTGATGTTGCTGAAGCAGTCTGTATCACTCATTTTGCAATTGTACCAGGTCAGATGTCTTGAGCACCGGTTTGCCTATTAGCCATCACAACTCTTAGGCCTAAATTAAAACCAAACATACTGCCTCTCCTGAAAGCAGTAAGGTTGAAAGCGTGTCAGCTTCAGTTAAGATTGGACAATTTGATTTAAAAAAGACATATGGGAAACGAAGCAGAGACCTGCCTGTGTCCCAAAACAACAAAAATGTTTATATGTGAATCAGAATACCCACATAAAAAGTATCATTTATCACAGATGTGCCAAAGAACAGCTGACTGTGGGGGCCTGTTGTACTGTGCAGATGGAATAAGAGCCTTTGCTGCAAAGAACTTCCACTCTAAATCAGCATTTAAATCTAAATCCCTTCCAAGCCTGGCTCCTTTCTCATGACCCCAAAATCCAGGTATAACATCTTGTTACTTCATTCAGGTTATCAAGCTGTAAACCACCCCCCCCCCCCCAAAAAAAAAAAACCAAACAAAAACAACAAAACAATTAAAACATCATGACAATTAATTGTGGGAAATAAATTCTGAATTTCTCAGTTAAATATAAAAATAAGGCTTTACAGATATTTGCCACTCTGTGCCAAAATGTGGCCAGGGCACAACTGAGAATTGCCCACAATTAGAACAAAAACTTGATTTCAGAGTGCTCTATTTTAGTTTTTCTCAGTCTAATCAGTTAAAGCTACCAAAACAGTTCAGAAGTTTCAGTATCTGCTACAAACCCATCAGTAACTCTTTCATGCAAATAAGCTGATGCCAAGAAAAGCCAACAGATTCAAGAGAATTTGCAGCAACATTTCTCTCTACTATGTCCATATCCAGTGCACAGGAGTCACTTAATTTTTACTACTGTAATTCTCAACACCAGAGCAGTCTAAAATCCAGTGCGTGCATTCACTGCTGAAGCTATGCCTCCCTGCTAACTGGATCGCACACCGGGTGGGAAACCTTCTGGCCCACAATCACTATTCAAGATGACCCAGGCTTACAGTTTAATCTAATTATGATTTTAACCATCCACAGATGCTGCAAGTACGCAGGTGGCACTGGGTGTTAAAGGCTCAAGGAGTGAAATACCCTTTCAGCTCCAGTAATATAACTCAAAATACCCAATCAAATAGGTATGAAGCTGCTTTGCTGACACAAGTTCTAACAAACCAGAGAGGCAACAAGGGAAAATCTGTCTCTCTCTTGTAGCCAAATAGGTTTTAAAAAATAAGAAAGAACCAGGCCTTCCAGAAATACAAACTGATTTAGTAGTTCTGTAGGAGGGGTGGTGTCTTGTGACATGCATTGAACAGACCTGTACTGAAGGCTCAAAGCTGGAAGCTGAAAATTTGGTTCCCTACCAACATCACAGCAGGACTGCAGAGATTAGTGAGAATAAAATGCTTTGAAAAATTAAAAGCACTAGGTAACTACTAGGTATTATTAAAACCCTAAAGATAATAGGGACAGAATAATTATTATTCACTTGAAATTACTGTGAAAATAGTATTTTATTTATAAGTTAAATGCATTTTATATTAGCAAAGGGAACCATTGATAAGCCAAGAAAAGAGAAATCCTACAGAAAAAAAAAGGTACAGTATAAGAAACTATAAGTAACAAACAAGCTACTTCCATATCTGATACCAGGCAATATGCTTCAGACTCTGACCCACGGAGACAACTACCAAGAAATATGTTCAAGCACTTTGGGTTCTTCAGTCTGGCCAAATATGAACCCGTAAGTCTAGGAGACAGGAAACAGATTTAATCACATGGATGGAAACACCTTCTTTGACTTTCAGTTGGTGAGGGATAGGGACATTTTTGGTCATGGACTGTTCTCGTTACTTTTCATTTGTGTCTCCACCTTCTCTAAATGAGACTGTGATAACCTATTCCTCCTGGAGCTATTTTGTGTGGAAACAGAGCTCGAGTCCCAAACTTCTAGCTGGTATACTATGCCCCTCCCTACAACTGATGTTAGCTGTCAATGTCCTGCCACTCTAACATCAAAAATAAAGCCCCGAGTGAGGGGAGGATACAACAAAAAAAGAACTTGCCTTCCAAAATTGCCTGGAAGAGCAGTTAAGGACAGTGATTTCTATAGATGCACTAGCAACAGATCTGTGAAATCTGTGGCTTCCAGAAGAACACCATGTCTTTCCACTTGGGACCTCTGAATTTTGGACTCTAGAAGATATACAGGGGCAATTTTTAAAGTTTCTTAACAATCCAATCCTCTAATCATACATAGGCATAACATCCACTTTAAAGTGTCTGCTAAAGACGGGGTGCCAAACTGTACCTGCCAAAGAGAACATCCAGTTGAACTCTCTGAAAGAAAAACCTTGCATTTTACAGTCTTCATTCAAGAACTTACCACAGGTGGTAACTTTATTTCTCTAACATACACTGTATTGTATGTTCTATAGTTGATCAGGAAGTAACTGTACTTTTTTTAAAATGTATGCATCATACTTTACCTACAACAGTAAAATTTTCCGACCTCAGCAGATTTTGTTCCACTGACTGCACAATGAACAAAAACCACAATAGCTAAAAGACAGTCTCTAACCTTTGCAAAAATGTTCATCCTGAACTCTGCTCATGCTTCTAAAACAGGAAAGTGGTTTGCTGCACGTAACAATAGTTTCTCTGTACCTTTAAATATAAAGTTCTTGTTATCAATGGCAATCTTTTAAAAATTCATCTGTGCAGAAAAGCTGAACTTCAGCAAGCTTACATTATTTGAGAAGGTGCTTTGAAGTATCTATTTATAATCCTCCAATCTGAATGACAAAGAAGCTATTTGCAATTGTGAATCTTTAAAATGCAGATCTGAACTGATGCCTCTGTGGTTTTGTAACGCATTAACACAAACCCTGCAACTCAGCCTTTACTTAATGTCTTTGTTCCGTTCCAAAGTGAAGCACTAGTGCTGTCTCTTAAGGTGATTATTCTTGGTGAGCCAGTGTTTCCACATGCACTTTGTGAGACCCAGCAAAAATTACATTTTTCAGGTATCTGAAATAACATTTTCTTTATGTGCTATTACAAAGTGACAGCCAGAGCCCAGGATCCCTTATTGTTCATGTATTGTACAAGTCTGAAAATAGATGGCAATGGGATTTTCAGCTGGCAGAATGTCTCCAAAGCTGAGAAGAATTTTTCTAACAAATTTTACACAAAAGCAGAAATGAGGCTCTGGGCCCCGGATCCCACATGATCCAGCAGATGCTGTTTCCAGCTTCAGCAAGTTTTCATTCAGAAGCAACTGCCTCCATGTTCAACAGTGCCCCACGGATCACATACAAGATCCTGTTAGCCTGTATAAATGAGAGGCCTGATTTAGAATTACAGCAAAAATACAATACACAACTTTTGTTTGGGAGAACTAAAAAACTGCATTATCACCATTTTCTCCTGTCATCTCAAAGGGATGCAAATGTATGGTTCGTGATGGTCCTTTATGAGAAGCATCAACCAACCACCATATCTTGCTACTCCCAAAAATATATGTATTTTTTATTGTAACGTTAATGGTCTAGTAAAACCTGCATGAGAAATCTTATCTATGCATCTTCCACATAGCACATATGAATTTGGAAAGTTACAGATCTTTGGTTCGGGAATGGCTCAAAAATAAAATTAGTCCACAGCTGCTATTTCAGCTCTATTTGAGACAAAGGGGTCTTTTTCACTTCTGCTTTGGTATGTGAAAGTAACATCTATGGCCCACGGGATGCAGGAGCCCCACAGTGAGGCCAAATCCCACAACTCACACCTGCTCAAAACGCCCAAAACCAAAGGTGAAGACGCTGACATTGTTTCCTAGCCATCAGAGACACGGCTTTACTCACAGGTAGCCACACCATAACGAGTGACCTCCTAAAGCTGCTCTGGGAGCCCGGGGACCTGTGGGAGGAGAAGGGGCCCAGCGCCTTCACCCCGACACCGGCCACGGTGACCCCCTCAGGCCCCACTGCTCCACCCTCCTGCCCGGGTGAGCTCGAAACTCTGCATACCTCCTCTTCGCTTTGCACAACACTGTTATACAATGACAGCCACTCGCAGGGCAGAGCCTCGCAGCTTCCCACGTTCCTTCTTTGCCCAGAACAACTTCATCCATCCATCCATCCATCCATCCATCCATCCATCCATCCATCCATCCATCCATCCATCCATCCATCCATCCACACATCCATCCACACATCCATCCATCCATCCACACATCCATCCACACACCCTCCCTCGGGTTTCACCTCGCCAGCAGCCGGCCACAGGCCCGGCCCCCTCCTCGCTGCTGCGGGGCGGCCTCACATCGCCCAGCGCTCCCGGGCCGGAGGCGCCCACCGCCGCCCGCGCCGCTGCCCCGGCCGGGGGCGGCGGGGCTGGGGGAGGCCGGGCGGGGAGCGGCGGCCCCGCCGAGGGGCGGGCGGGGTCTGTGGGTGTCTCTCTCGGCCTCACTCACCTCCTGAAGTCAAAGGGCATGTTGGTGGCGGGCGCCGGGCGGGCTGCGGGCCCCGCCGCCCCTGGCCCCGGCTCTCGCCTCGCCGCCGCCGGCTGCAGGGCCAGGAAGTGACGGGCCCCGCCGCCGCGCAGCACCAGCCCATTGGGCGGCCGCCGCTTCCGCCGCCGGGTTACGGGCAGCGGCGGGAGCGGCGGCGGAGGGGGCTGCGGCCGGTCCCTTCGCCGGTCTCGCCTGCCCCGCCGCGCCCCAGGGCCCGCTCAGCTCCCCGCAGCCCTGGAGGTGCCCTCAGCGCCCCAGGGCCCGCTCAGCTCCCCGCAGCCCTGAGGGTGCCCTCAGCGCCCCACGGCTCCCAGCCCGCAGCTCCGAGGCCTCTGCCGGCACCCCGCGGAGCTCTCCTCAGGCCCCCGCCAGCACTCCGTTGCCCTGTGCCCCCCTCAGCGCCCACCGCACCGCTGTGGGTGCCCCACGGGCCTCCTCTGGCAGCCCAGGGCTCCAGGCCTCCGGGGCTGCCCAGCAGAGCCCCTGCCCGGCAGAGCAGGCCCGGCCCGGTGCAGCTGGCTGTCCCACAGTTATCGAGGTGCGTTGGGGTCCACCAGCTCTTCCGCAGCGATGCTGAGCTGCCTGCGGACACGGGCTGCGTCGGCCGAGCCAGCGGGACTGCCCGGGCCTGCAGGCAGGAGCGTGGCGGCTCGCGCGGGTGCGGTGTTCTAGGTTTTGTGGTGCATCTCTTAACACTGTCAGCGTCATGATAATAACTGCTTCTGTTTGTGAATGCAGCGTTGGCTTTTCTCTGGAGACAGAGTCGAGCCACAGTGACAGACGGGGAAAACTCTCACGCTTCGAAGTGCCCATAAAGGAAGGAGGAGCACCCCTAGACCACTGAGACAGGCACCCCTCCCCAGCAGAGGATGAACTCCTTTGGTGCCAACATGACTCTTCTGCAATTTTATTGGAGGCGAAGGAATTAAAAACAGTTCCCTATTCTTCAGGCGAGACACTTCCCCAGTCTTTTGCTTGAGTGCTTTTGTCTGACAGCATCCCTGCCAGGCTTAATGCGATGCACATGGCTCGTCCCGCACTGCTCCATGCACCACCCCGCGCTCTTCCATCAAGAATGTTGCTGGCCAATAGCATCAGTCAGGGACTTTTTGCTGCAGGTGGTGTGACCACTAAGAAGTGCTGTCACTCGCATACGTTGAATGTTAGATTACAGTGCAGGAACGAAATACCGCTCCTCTTGCCTTTTAAGTCTAAAAGCAGGATAAGAGAAAGAGGGAAAGGACAGCAGTCTAAATATACTGTGTGCGACATACTGCTTTTCTAATTGATTCTGCAGTTTTCTTCCTCTTCCTCCTGCTGTCTTCATCTCTGTGTTTAGAGATCCACATCTTTAATTTTTTTCCTTCCACCCAGAAATGAGGCCCATACATGGATAAAAAAAGAAATTCAGGTTGAAACAAGCAGAGTAAAAACTACCAAAGAGTGAAAGCTGTTAATCAATGCCGTAGTCTTTCAAAGGAAGAGGGAATAATTCATGCTGGAAATATTCAGAACTAAACTGGAGGAATCCTGACGATGAGATAACAAGGCACAGTCCCTCAGAAGCCCCCAGGGAATAGATAAAAATACTTAATTGGGTTTTTTTGATCTCAGATATCTAAATTATCCAATCGCATTGTGCAAGCACATTCAGCAGATTGCTAACTGATCAGCCACAAAATCCTGTTGCACTTTGCATTGTGTTCCAAAAGTGAACAACCCACTGAAATTAATGAGACAATTCTCATCTCTCATGAGGTCAAACCAATTACACAGGCATAGCCAGCGGGTACTATCTGTAGTGGAAAAAAAAAAAAAAAAAACAAACAAAACAAAACAGTGCCTATCAAGTTAGAGTTACACAACCAAGTGCTCGTCTAGGCTCCTGGCAAGGTCCTGGTATCATTAGCTCTTATTAACTGTCTTGGGCACAGGCATCAACTCTCTCAGAAGCCAAGAGAGTGCTGAAGTGATTACAAAAGCACTTCACTTGTACCATAGACAAATCTTGAGGTGGCCTTGAAGAGTCATTTGTTTTGCAGGCTTGAGGCTCAAGAACACAACACAGTGAGAGCTCACATTGTGAAGATTTTATTTGCAACTAAAAGGTCAAACTCTGAAGAAAGTAATAGGCTCAGAGGAGTGCCAGGACAGCTTTCCAATTGGGTCCAGATCACTTACATCCTTGCCAAGGGAAGAAGAAGTTAATGCCCTGAGATAAGACCCTCGTCACAATATTGTTTAATTACATAAGGCTTCTAGGGAGCCTGAGATAAGAACAGGAATTTGTCCACAGTCCAGCTGGGTGCGGCTGCTTAGATCATGTTGTGTATTAGAATGGGAACTAAAAGCACGGGGTTTATTCGAGGTGGTTGTCACATCATTAGAACTGGAATGACTAAACTGATACTGACAACTGATTTAAAAGTTAACTCTCTTTTTCATGGGAGCAATAAACTAACATTTTCCTGACAACAGTAGCCCTAAAACTATCTATTATTTCTCTTCAAACTGCATTAGGAACATTAATTGAGCCAAACTGCTACTATAAAATGAGTAAGTAAATATTTTCAGAACTCTTTTATCAATGAAGAAACTGAAGCAGAGGAATTAATTGACTCACCTAAGACTACAGAATATGATCAGCTTCAGCCCTAAAATTAGCAAACAAATCCCTTCATTCCTAATTCTGTGTTCATAATTCTTCTTGTAAAAAAGAGTATTTTCCTCACTCCAGTTCACTTTCTTATAGATAAATCAGATCATGGATGACTCTATCTGGATTCCTAACTAATGCCTCACAGCAACAAAACTGATACCTCCTTCCTATTAAAAAAAAAGTGGCCAAAAAGTGCTTTATTTTAATCATCTTCCTGGATATTTATTCCATAAATTTGTTCATGCAGGTAAAATGTTTTCTCTCTAGGTTTCCTCATATTCCTAATTTCTAGATGATATGTTAGTCTTTAGTTTTAATTTCATGTTAATAGAGTTTATACTAATCCTTGATAATTTTTATTATCTTTATTTTGTAATCTCAAAACTTCCTTTTTCTCAGAAAAGTGTAACCTTGTTCCTTACCTGTTCAGCATGGTTTTGGATAATATAACATCCTGTAACACTCATGTATGAGTCCCTGTTTTGTTTTGTCTGTGATTCCTTGCACACGGCTGAGTTTTATGTTAGCCTCTGGCTTGTGCTACTGCTCTTGCATTGGGAATGTACTGTAAGTGCTGTGACTGTGTCATGAGCAGCATTGTTTGCTAAAGGTAAAGCTGGGTACGTACAGTCATCGTTTAGGTCAAATAGGTTTCGTTCATCAATTGGGAATGTGCAGTGACTGTTAAGGAAGGTGCAGGGGTTATTCACTTATGCCCCTTCTGCTACTGAGGTGTGTTTGCTCCCAGCTGAAGTGTAGCTTTTTGTTCGGGATGTTGAGTGGCAGGGTACGCACTGCGACATTTTACCCTTGTGCATTTATTCACAGGATATGCTTGTAGCACTGGTGTCAGGGTGGGTTGGGGATTCAAGTGAGCGCATTGCTCTGCAGGGCGTGTTTGCTTGATTATGTGTTGTATTCTGCAGGGTGTGTCGCTGACTGCATGAAGCATTAAACACAACTGCCGTTCAGGAAAAGGAAAAAACATTTTAGAGAATGAAGAGAAAATGTTATAAAGCATTTAAAAATATAAATAACAGCGTGTGCGGAAATCTTTCTGAAGGAACAGGATGCGCATGTAGGTGCAGAATTCAAATACAAGTGCTGTGCTAAGTATAATCAGTAATGAAAGCTCGGCCCTTCCATTTGTGATTTTAGTAAGCTAAATGTTGACAGTACTTTCCAAATACCAGGGAACAAAAAAGTGAGCTTTAAGTCTTGTTGCAGTGTAGTATGTGTTTGTCATTATCACATATGTTATGCTGTCCATCTATTATTGTGAGACTGGACTTGAAATGGGTAGTAGAATAAATTAGTATGTACTCAACTTACTATGTAAGATCCTTCTTTATCGAGTATCTGAGCTTTTTCTTTAAGAAGACATAACAACCACCTCTCTTCTTCCCATTCAATGTGCAAAAGAAATAATCTGATTATTTGATACATCACGGGGCTGGGTACAGCTGCCATGTGTACGTTTGAGTATGGAAAATGGGATCTGTGCAGCCATGTGGCCTCTTTCTTGTCCTGTGACAGTGAGCAAGCACATCGTTGGGCAACGCTGAGGGGAATCTACCAGTCTTAAAGTCCCTAGAAAATTTGCCCTGTTTTTAATATGGTTTCTCTTTGTTTGCTTGGTTTCTTTGCTTTGGGTGCCAGGAATTTACTATGGGAAGGTCACAGTGAGCAGAATATTTTTGTATTTGGTTTCTTTTTCCACTGTGGAAATGAACTTCACAAAGAAGTTTCAGCTCCTGTCACAGGCATACCTCATGCTTTCACAGCATCCCTGTAGTGATTAATGTCTAGTGTAATTTAGGAGACTGCTAACACAGGAAAGGTCATGGCCAAAGGGAGATGCAAGTTAACAGTTAACCAGAGTGAAGTCCTGTAATAGAGGACTTTGAACACTAAAGCAGGGGGCCAAATCTGAAAGAGATTTGGGATTAGTAGCAAAGAAGTTGAGGATTAGCACCTGATCCTCAAAGGGGGAATGCTCTGTAGTGAGTTAAATGCCTAAATTCCCCATACACTGAACTGGAATAGTTAGGAACCTAAGGACTTCAAGTGCCCTTAGCTAGTACACCAAGTGGTGAGATGCCTAAGAGAAGGGAACATTTGAGTATCTCACTGTGAAACTCTGATACAGGACCAGAAAGTGTTTACTTATGGGTTTAAGTAACACATTTGGCACGGACACCTGAATTAGTCTTCTCAGTGGCAATATGCCTGGGAGATGAGCCACCCTCTCTACTTTAAATACTCGCCAAGCACTGCTTTTCAGAGCACTTCCCTGAAAGCTGATTCTGGACCTTTGAGCAGGGAGTGCTGTGAGAAACTTCAGGGAGTTCAGGGGAAGGGAGGAAAATGTGCTCTGCCCAGCCTCTGAAAGCTGAGCCACAGTATAACCAGGAGCGCAAAAATTTATTGTGTTGGAGTAAGGTGCCTGGTTCGGGCTCTTAGCTGGGAAACAGTAGCAATGTTGGGACTGGGATACTGGTGAAGGGGTGCATAATTTACTAGTGTTAAACATCTATAAGCACATAAGCACTCCTGAGAGTCCCCTTCTGCTGTGTACTTTGAGTCCTACTCAGTCATAGTATGCCTAGGGAATTGGGTTCTTAAGACCTTACTGGCAAAAAACTCCACCTGATTTCTGGATGGACTGAGGCAAGAAGTAGCTGACAGAATTCAGCCCACCCAGAACAGTGGTCCTGCTGGGCACAAAAAGGCTCCAGACCTTTTGGCGCCTAAAGATTCTTTCAGCAGAAACTGTAGGCACTTACAGAATCTGACATAGCTGAGGAGGGGCGGCAGAGCTTTCCTGGGTTGCTCTCATGAGCACAGGCGCCAGCAGTCTGCGTAAGTTGCACTTTGGTGCCTGAGTGCTATTTTGGATCTCTCCCAGAGACCTTGCACCGGCACGCTCTCAGTGGGGAGTCAGCGCGAAAGCTCAGCAGGGGCTGGGGATGCTAAGTGCCTGGCTTGCTGCATCAAGAATGACCTTCTCAGAATGGGTAGTTTCCTCCTAGGTATGAGCTGTAGAAGCCAGCTCAGGCATCCAAGTGTGAGGTCTGGCTGTGCTCAGCTCTCTGTCTAGCAGGAAGGGATGCTATCCTGCAGCCAGCAAAACATGAAAACCAGCATTTTTCAACACAATGAGTATGTGAAGATTCAGTAGCCCTGGGTCATCACAAAGGCCCTCAGGCAGTAAACAAGCTAATTAAACCAAAATCTTGACAAGGAGGAATTTTTCAAAGAAGGCGCTGGAAGCTTTGTTGGAAGACTTGCCAAATCCTACTGCAGCTCTCTGTGGGCAGCCAGTCATCTTGCTGCACCTTAGCAGGTTCTCACCCATCATTTGATCCATTGGAACCAGCCATGTGCGTGAGACATTGAATAGCACTTCACCGACCCACTTTTGGCATGCTCGTCTGCGCTGCCTTATCAGCTTTCTCAGTGGTTTCCTCTAGATATTGTGTAGTGTTCAGGGAGCTGAGTAAGCCCAGTGGGACATTTCAGACAAGAGATACATACTCTTTTTTCATCTTTTTCATAGTAAGGATATGGACTTTTAATTGTTTATTCTGTGATTTGATAGCAGGCTGCCTCTTCTGCAAATGACACTTGTGTTTTCATCATTCTCGCTTGGTCGCCTGGCAATCTTATGACAGTCAGTGTATTAGGGAGGCTTTCTCAGTGCTAAAGAATCTGTTGCAGAAGTCAGGGTGTGGCTAGAGAAAATCTTTTATACAGATATTTTTTTTTATTAACCCTCTAACAAATGAAGTCAGAGGTCATTGTTTCTGGCCCAGTATTGTTTTCACCTGGAGAACATGGAGTCAGCATTTCTGAAGTGTCATTGTTAGGGTATGATTTTTCAGTATCTGGCTTCTGATTTGGAGTGGAGTTAGTTTTGGGTGGTCAACTTCAGATGACTTGCAGTCCAATTTAGTATCTATCTTTGCTGCTGACTTCAATGATCTGCCATTTGGCCAAACAGAGACTCCAAACTAGTGATTATCTCAAAGTGTTGGCCCTAGCATCTGTGAGATGGAGATGGAGAGTGCTGTAAATACACAGGGCACACAAAGAAGCGTGGAAGGATACAAAAGAATGAAGAGAGGAACTGCTTGGGAAGTGAATGCCCAGCGGAAGGGAATTAAGAAGGAATGATA